AGAGCTGGGTGTCATTCTTGTAAAAGTCTCACGTTAACACTAAAGCAAGAACACTATCCGGCTCTATTTTACTTCTCATATAGACTCAATTGAGCCAAAAGGAAATTAAATACCTAGATAGATAGAAGAAGAGTGGTTTGGCTAATTATCTTTCATATTTGAATATAGTTACGAGACCATCAGTATATCAGAAGTATGAGATGTATTCACCCAATTTCGTTTAAGGTGATAAAGGATTGGTAGTAGAATTTTCCCACAATGATATGAATAGAACTGACGTTTCCATTCAATTTCACATTGTCATGCTTTTCCGAAAGTTGTTCTCATACCGGCTGGAGTTGACTGCAGTTTCGACCTCGCATCGGTCTTATCGACACCTCCGGTGGGAGTCGAACCGTGACAGTACAGAATGGGATCTTGACACGTTAACCAATCAACAACATTGCCACAAGTCCTCTTGGGTCAAACGGCAAAATGTGAATTTAAAGGAAGGCCGGGTCTTTTGCCATATCATATTCTTTCATATTGGTCCTGCTACTTTTGCTCGAGTGTGTGTGCGCGTGTGTGTGTGTGTGTGTGTTAGCGTCTATAGGCGGACTGCGTCAAACTGAACGTCGTATAGAGCCAAACGGTTGAAGTACAACGGAATTCTGGTGAGATCGACCAACTTATCTCTTCTTCATGGACTTTCATACGAAATGAAAGTTCCCCCAACAATACTATTAGTATAGAAGTTGCTTGACCTTGTTTTCGCAACATGGTCCTATTGGTAGGAAGACTTAGAAGAACGCACCTAGTCCGAAGTCGATTGTATGTATCATCTTTTCCAAAGTCAGACAGTGGACGTGGTACATTCCCAGAAGTTTCGCCGGCACCGTCAGTGAGTTTCACCATTCATAGCACCATATTACAACTCGTCAAAGAGACAATAGGCATAGAGACTTCGACTACGATGCCGGCGAAACGTCTGTGAATGTACCACGTCCACGGTCCGAGTTTGGAAATGGTCCTCCATACAATGGACTCTGGACTAGGTTTGTTTCTCTAATTCTTCCTACCAATATGACCAAGTTGCGAAAACAAGGTCAAACAATTTTTATGCAACGAAAAGAGACCTCAACCACACAAAAGGCCACACCATCTTGGTCTTCATATCTTCAAATACTATTAGCAATTACAAAGAGCAACCGGGTTTTGATGAGTTACATGGGATAACATTGTTAAGGACGACTTCATTTCGAGTGAAGTGCACGAAGAAGAGATTCATTAGTTGATCTCACCAGAAGACGGCGGCTCAACTACGATGTACTGCAGCCATTTAGCCTTAAACCGACGTTCAGCTTGACGCAGTCCTGATGAAAGAAAACTCAGCAGGTTTTCATCGGAAACGCGGGAAGATGTCGCGTGGACTACTTTGTTGTCAAGCCAAACGGCTGCAGTGCAACTGGATTCAGCTGTCGTCTTCTAATGACATCAAACTACGAATCTCTTCTTCATACACTTTCATACGAAATTAAGGTCTCCCCAACACTACTATTAGTAAGTCGGTCAGATATCTTTTGGTGGAATTGATCTCGGCTCACCCATTTCCGGCCTCTAAGAATCAGAACGGAGGTTTCCTCCTTTAGATGATAGACGGTGGTGGTGCAGTTCTATGAGCTAGGACAAGAGGTGAGGATAGATGCTAAAATGGTTGAATAGATACTGAAACATGTCACGTCTGGTATGATAGAGAACGAAGAAATGGGTATCTTTCACAAGATTTTCCTTGAGATGGCTGCGACCAAGCCTAAGGATATACCATCTTGCTCTTCATATCCTCGATATTGGTACTCTTGTAGAATCGATCATAAACCTGTGAACCTTATTTGCCTGTAAAGTTTACGAATGCGTCAGCATTCTAGTCGGCTCCGTCAATGAGAGGAACCAGCCCCAGAAACGTAACCACAACTTATCAAAGTGACAAGTAACTCATTTTCTAGAAGTGGGTTGACCTCGTTGTCACAACTTGGTCTTGTTGTCAGGGAGACTATGTAGAACGCACCTAGTCCAAAGTCGTCTGCGACAGTAGTTGTCATGATTCCCAGCATCAGACTGTGGACTTGATACATTCTCAGACGTCTCACCGGCATCGTAGTCGGCATCATCAATGAGTGCTGCCATTATCCGCACCAAGTCACGAACTCGTCAAAGAGAGAATTGAAGTCAACCACTCGAGTCGTCTTTTTGTCCTGTCCTAAACGAATAGTGCAACCGTTTTTGGCAGAACGTTGGTGAAAGGATTAACTTCACTTCTCTTTTTGACGAGTTCGTAGCTTGGTGTGGAGAATGGCAGCACTCACTGATGATGTCGTCTATGATGCCGACGAAACGTCTGAGAATGTACCAAGTCCATTATCTGATTCTGGGAATAATGTCAACTACTAGGGGAGACCAATTCGGACTAGGTGCGTTCTAATAAGTCGCCCTGACGACAAGATCAAGTTGCGACAACGAGGTCAACTAATTTTTATAAATCGATAAGAGATTGTGACCATACCAGAGGCCTCAACATCTTGGTCATAATAT